TGGTTGTGGTGGTGTTGGTGTTGGTGTTGCTGTTGCTGCTGCTGTTGTTGTTGTTGCTGCTGTTGTTGTTGTTGCTGTTGTTATGTTGTGTGCTGTTCTTTGTACTGCGCAACCTGCAAACGCAGAAATGTGTACATAAAAATGAATCGTTTCCGCTCTTGCGCAACAACGGCTTTTTCCTAGAAATCGTACAACAACTCACGGAATCAGCAAATTCTAAACCTTGAAAGTCGCACGGCGCACATGTAACCTAGTTTGCTATACACGTTTGATGTAAGTAATATACAATTCATTAACTTGGATTGGCGTTACTCAACACCAGTAATGATCTCGTCATGTGAACACCATGTTGAGTCAATACTGAGTTGGGTGTGTTCTTCGGTGCATCCTACCGCTTGCTTTCGGTTGTATTGCTTTCGCTCGGCAGCTAGTAGTGGATCCTACGTGTGATGAGGACGTCTCAAGGAATGACTGACATGTTCCTGCCGAGAGTATGAATGTCACCAACTATCCCTATGAACTACTACCGCAGCTCTAGAAACCAACAAGCCAGAAGTAAAGTGTCCTGAGTCATGGAACCATAGGCTGTGACCTACAATCAGTAGGTTGCAGTTCTAGTTGGCACTGTTAGCACTGGGTAGGACGGTATCTCATCGTCTGCGATCCCTACGTGTCGTTCTTGATGACTGAAACATCCTGCCGAATGCTTTCGCAATACTCCGTCTTGCTATTCCCGTTACTATTGTTCTCCAAGACATGGCCCAGGCAAATGAAGCTGCAAACCTGCGACCAGCTAGCAGGTTTACACTCTCGTTCGTTGGCGGGAGCAGTTTACGAGACAAGTTGCTCCACCGAATCAAAACAACCTTCAACTCGATGCTTATAGGCCTAGCAAGATGGGGTGGATGTGTGAAGGCTTGGCCACCCGAACGCGATCTGATGAGCATCAACCGCCGGCGCCACCCAAGAACACACACACACACACTAGCACCTATGCCCCAATGCCCCAAAGCACCGACCCCGATCCCGTGCCAAGTCAATTTAAGCCGCAGGCTCCATGCCTGGTAGTGCCCCTCCATCAACTCCGTTACGTTTCATTCTTGCGACCAGAGGGCGGGAGCATGCATGAAGTCGCAAACATCCATATGAACAGGATCGGGTGTACAGATGTTACACACACAACAGAAACAAAGAGTGCACCACGGAGACAAAGAAAAGCCAGCGAGAACGAATCATTGCACCTCTGGTGAGGCATCAAGGGCTTTCTGGCCAGAAGAAACCTCGCATGAACTTCTCTAGTACTCTAGTAGTGCCATTGGTCGTGTTGCGGCGGGCAGCAGACGCAGATGAGGCCAAAGCACGTTCATTGGGTGCGTGTCCGAGATCTTCAACAAATCCTCATCATGCCAAAGCGACAAATAATTCGGGCGAAGAGCATCACTGGCACGGCACCAGATGATTTCCACACACCAACACAAACACACACACACACACACCCACACCCACCCACACACACACACACACCTACCTGACTCGCGTATCTGTTGGAGGTCCCTCCTCGGTTCGCCAATAAGAGGACCGCATGCCAATAAAGTCCTGATCACCAGTCGGATGTGGACGGACAGATGCCAGCGACAAAACCCTGCTCAACGGAAGATGGATGCAAGCGTCCCCAGCAGCTGCAACCGTCATGCCAGGAGAGAACTCGAGCAGCACCTGAAACGGAGCAGACTCATCTGAGTCATCTGAGACAGTTCGGAGCGAAAGCCGCAGGCCGGCAAGTTAGACTTCAGAAGTTTTTCGTGCCCAGCACCACATCGATGGACTAAAGACTTTCTCTGCAGTGAGCCGGCGCATTTCGTTTGCGGCGCTTTGAATTGAGCTTTGATATTGCTTGAAGATGCACCCAGCTGGCTAGCTTCGAGAAGGGTCGAACACTCCTAACTGTCCTAGGTAACTACTCCAGTGCCAGTAAAATCCAACCAGGGGACAGTAAGCTGTGGGCTTCCGCCGCGCCGCGCAGGTTCAATTCAACTTCAGAATTCGACATAATTCGACAGGCCTCCAGCTTGGCTCCCTCCGCCACCTTTCGCAGCCCGTGAGGCCTTAGCATTCAGGCGGCTGCTCCGGTTCTAGACAGCATCGAGCTGCCGGCGTGTAGCGGAAGAAGTCGTCAGGGCAACCGTGCACTCCTCGGCCCGGGAGCGCACGAAGTGTGAAAGGGAGGCGGGAAGGAAGCCAACAGCTTAAGGCGCCAAGAGCGGTGCCGTCAATGAAGGGAGCACCCAGCAAGAGATAACCGCCTGCAATGCTCTGATCACTCACCTAATCCTGTGGCATCGGATGGCTCAGAAAATCGCAAGCACCCTGCAGAACACGCTGCGCCGAAACCAAAGCAGCTAGAAGCGGCCACTACAGGAGCGCATTCCACAAGTTCGACGTTTTCTAGACGTACGTTTAGGCGACAAGGAGGTTGGTTGCCTTCGTTGAGGTCTGTGAGGGCTCAGGCTCCACCATACACACGGCCGAACTTTCAGCAGTCTCGAAGCTCTAACTAAGACTCTAAGATGTCGCCTAGAGAACATAACACCCACGGCGCCCACCATGCCTTTGCACCTACAGGGCCGGCACTTTGGACCGGCTTTCGGGACTTTGAGTTCACGGCGATATAGCGACTTCGCTGGAGGCACAGAGCTCAAAACGAGAACTGGCGGTTATTCAACTCTCGATCGGCGTGCCACGCCTGGGTTAAGCAACTTGGCAATGCCACGCGCAGCTTGGTGTGGGTCCTCAGGTATCTTTCAGTGTCCGGTGCTCTGCGTTTGGCCAAGCATGCACACTCCACGACTGTAAATCAAAGCTAGGCTTCCGGAACATGCTCCAAAACGAAGAAGCACACGACCTGAACGACTACTTTGCTCGCCCGTGTCCACACATGTATCGCTGACATGAGGATTCTTTGGCAAGCATGTCGGGCCAAAGTGATGCATCGCCAGACCCCAATCTGATGGAGAAATTCCGCAGGTTGGCTTGGCGATTCCAACCTTCTGGAACCGTTTCCTGTCAAGATCTGAATCTAGCCTTGTGGACTTGGGCCTAGTACTGTTGGCGGCTGCAGGGCGACTCAGCCAGCGGTAGGTCAAGGGTTACGAAGTGCACAGACTTGCAACCTGGCAAGCTTTCCGAGCAGCAGATCCGTTCGAGGCCTGGGACTTCTTCTCCTTCTTTATTTATGCTTGTGCTTCCGGGCGCGGGGACTCCCGGGGTCTTTGCTAGAGGTCTTTCCCGCCTGCGTAGACAAATTGCGAATAAGAAAGGGGGAAGTGCTGGCATGCGCAGGCTGAGCAGGTGTCTGCAAGTCCACATCACCCGAGTTGGAACTGTGCATCTGCAGCACCCGGGGAGACACTGACATGCAAAATCAAGCTGGACAGTGATGCAAAGGAAAGCTAAGCTCGAACCCTCCAACTTCCACCTTGAGCATGTTGCTCCAAGCCTCCCAAGTTGCAAACCAGGTGGTTCGGACTAGGCAGCTGCCTGCGTATGCCTCCTTCTCCACTCTCCACAATCCCCAGGGTCCAGTTCTATTTCGAAGGATAACCTAGAGTCTAGGCCTTCTTGCACAAAGGCAACCCTTCCGTTCCATGGAAGACTCTCAGCATCTTTGTAAAAAATCATGTCCCGTCTAGGATACAAAGCAGCTCAAACTGTGTTCTTTCTGAGGGCCCCAAAGACCCTGAGCCTCCCGGGCCCGGGGCCAGGCCGCAGAAAGCGCTGTCAGCGCCTTTGGGAGCTGAGGCTTCGGCCAGGCCGTAGTCTGTAGGCATCCAATCGGGTGGCCGAAGAACGTCCAAAGCCATCACCCTCGCAAGGAAAGGACAGGAAAGAAACGGATGAAGGGCAGATTTTGGGCAGATGAGAAACGCTCGTGTGAGTGTGAATCCTCTTTCCTCACGTCCGCATGGCATGGAAGAGCACGACCACCACTGCTTCAACCCCTAATCGTTTGGCCCCTGGGCGCCTGGTACCCTTGCTGTACGTCTGCATCTTCTCTGGATGGCCGGCGCGGGGATCGGCGTACTGAAGCACATCATGGCGAAAGCAGAGCGGTCCAAAGGCCTTGATAGTGTAGAAAGGCGTGTCCCATTCCAAACAGCGCCCTAAGGCGCCAAAGGCACCAGCTGCCGGGCCAAGGAGCTTCAAGACCAAATCTTTCGCCTTCCAAGTAAAGTGAGCTGCTTGGATTCGGCCGGATGCCAGCGGCTGACCCTCAGGTATCAAGGCTTCGATCGTTTCTTCCTCTGAAGCTTCCCCATCAATCCAGGAGTGAAATTTCTGCCTGTCCGACTCCTTCCAGTATTGATACAGAGGGTCACCAGGAAACAGCTCGAAGGTCCTGGAAGGCAACTTCTCATTTTCGCCCAGAGCGGCGATAAGGCGGCTCGTTGCCTCCGGTCCACAAGTCCCCAAAGTGCAGTGAACTTTTCTCTGCCAAAGATCTCGTTGGGATGGCGGCTGCAAGGTGAGCAGCTCATCGGCAAAGTGGGACAGCTCCCTGTCTGTCAGTCCGGTCACGTGCTTCAATGCAATCCACAGATTGTCTTCGGCAGCACGCGAGGCAACCAGCTTCGCCGCTATGAGAACGAGCCCAGTCCACATTGTGGAAGCACGGCATTGCCAGCATTGCGCGGTCTGTCTCTCTTCACGAACAATTCATGCCTGAAGTACTTTGCATCATGCCTGGTGCGCTGCTCTTGCTAGCCTCTACTGCTGCTGCCAGCGACCACCTATGGCCCCCCTGCATCTGGTTCATACATGCTAAACTCAACGACGTGTTGGCTGCGTCTCTCCTGCTAAACTTTTTCTCTCCTAGCGCTCCACCACCAGAAACGACATCTGTTCTTCTTTCAAGACGCACCAAGAAAACAAAGACGTGCTTGCATGACGGTGAGTGAGCTATAGTGAGCTAGTGCCCACGTGATCATTCCTAAAAGGATCTGTCACCTTGCTGCCGAAACATGAAATTCGACACCGGGGTGCTAAGATTTGCGACTTCGAACCTGATGCGGAGCCGAAACGGCTTCTGGCAAGCAACGTTGTGGCTGAGTGTAAACTCCCAGCGGCTGTGAGGCTGTGAGATTAACAGCGGACAAGCGGCCTTTGTTTCTGCTGGTCATAAGCAAGCTCGGCGGCGGCTTTTCCTGATTTGAAAACTGTCTTATAGGCTACGCACTAGCTCCCCTGCGATGTGTGCTCTACTGGTAGAAAGACTGGCTTCAAAGTATCCAGACAGAGGTCAAGTGACGATTTCTATGTGCAGAACCTTTGAACGCTCCAAACCACAAGTCCTCGCAGAGACCGAAAGATGAGCCGATGTGCAGATCCAATCCAACAGACATCTGCGCTTCGTCAGCAAATGTGCAGTGGGCACTGCTGCAAGTCTGAGGGTACAATGCACCACAAATTCTCTTCGTCATGGCTTGCTAGGCATACGAAGCAAATTCCCTTCTGGGCATGCCCGCGGAGGGCACAAAAAAAAGACCGGCCGACGTCACCGGACATCTATCCGTCGCTCAATCTGCGTGTTTGTCCGTCTGTGCATCCAACGTGAGCGAAAATCCGGAACCACTCAAGCCCCCGCCGAAATAGAATTGATTCCGGAATCCTCGCTGTTGTGTTTCCACGCGCCGCCGGAACAAATTTGTTTCCGCAATTTTCGTTTTTTGTTTCTATGCCGCCGCTCCGTTTGCGCACTCGCCTGTCCCTCCGTCTCTCCCATCCGATCGTCCGTGCATCCATCCGTCCATGTATTGAATAAAGTGGCCGCCAAACTTTGCGGCAACGAACGCTTTAGAGGCATCGGCCGGAGCCCCCGTTTTCCCATGAGGGTTGCCTAGGGCGCCAGCTGCGCTGGCGAACCGTAAACCCTAAACTCAAAAGTTAACCCTTCACACGTTCAAGAGCGTAGCACACCTTGTCGGGAATGCAAACAAATGATATTCTATAGTCTTACCAAGATCAAGCAAAAGGTAACTGTGGTTTACAATTACAGCCATTTAGCCGGTAAGTGCATGTCTGTGTACAAATATTTCTTAGTAACTCTGTATTGACATGTATGCCGATGATAATACATAGTTATTGCCCGCCCTAAACCCAACACGTTTGAGCCCGGATCGGAAAATGGGCCCTCGAGTGCTCGTGTGTGGCCAAGGGGGTAATTAGGGGCCACATTCTGCTGCAAAACAGCGCCGTTCTTTGTGTGTGCCTGCTCTAAACCATCCGGGGTCCCCGTGTGCCCAAAGGGGTCGGAGCCACATTCTGCAGCAGAACAGCGCCGTTCTTTGTCTGTGCGTGTGCCTACTCTAAACCCTCTGGGACCTTGCCCGTGCCCTCCTGCCATCCGGAAATTAATCTGATTTTTGCTTACTAAATTCTGCTTATAAAAGGCATTCTTATTAGGAACTCAACCCTCAACTTCGCTCCTTCCTTTTGCACATGCAGGCATATAGTGCACAGAGCGCATCCGGCCACTTTCGTGGCCCTTCCGCCTCCACCCAACCACCCGCTTGCCGCTCAGGCGTGGGATGCACGAGCCTGCACCTGCGCCAGCACACACTTTCATGCTTCTCTCTATGTGCAGACGAGCATCATTGCAGCAATTTGAGACAAAGCTTTTGTAACATGGCCATGGCACTGGCGAGCCTGAGTTATTCAAGCTGGCATTTAAAACAAATGTCGTCAAAGGTCCAGGCCGCGGCCGTTACTCAGCCTCGGAGGTCATCGTCGTGAAGCTTGAAACGTGGCAAACGATTCGAAACGAGTTGCTACAAGGGGTCACCAGGAGCGCTAATTCGGAGGGTCGCTTCAAGCGAGTGCCCTCATCACATTTGGAAGGATTCAGCATGCACATGGACGTGGGCTCCCTTAGGGTCGCTGTGCTTCTTGGCTGCACGGACACAGTCCTCAGTCAAGGCGCCAGGACCGCAAACAAAAACGCCAATGTCCAAAATGTCCCGCTTCAAGGCGCTCTGCACAACCTCGCCAATGATCGCGGGCACGTCCGGCCGTCCCTTCAGGACGTAGGGCGGCAGGCTCGCTTCGTCCTTGCCACTGTAGTGGAGGCGGCGGTTGTCAGGGTTCCGATCGAAGTAGGCTCCACAGGCGCTGTTGAAGTACTCGCCCGCAATGTGCTGAAGCAGGGAGGCGGAGCGGCAACTCCAAATCACGTGGACGTCTTTGCCTTGACGAATAAGGTGGGGAGCCATGGAAGCAGCGGGTGTCACCCCTACGCCACCAACCACGAAGATGATGATCCGCATTGGCTCAAGAGAACCCAAACCACCACCGTATGGCCCAGACATGTAAAAGGTCAGAGGTGCAGTGGGACTCTGCTTCACAATCTTGTTGCACAGGGCCTGCGTCCAAGTCTTGCCAGGGCACACCTTCCTTGGAGTTGCTCAACCGCTTAACTAGACCCTGTAGAAACGGTTGCCCCAAACCTCCGCTAATTCTCTGCCCAGCTTCCACAGGAACTCAACCTCAGCATACTCCTTGTCGATGCCACCACACTTGCGGACAATGGCGGTGAAGGGGTGGCTCAACGCGCTTCCCGCATCCTGGAAATGGCTGGGCTCTCTGGTACGAGATCTGCCTTAAGCATCCTTAAGCTCTAAGGCAAGATGGGCGTGTTGAAACCCTTAGAGTATCCCTACAAGATTGGGATATCTGCTCAGGCCTTCACTGGCTGCTTTCTAGGCACTCCAAGGCGGGGACATCTAGAATCTAGAGCTCAGGGCGACCAGTGCTCGCCAGAAAAGGCAAAGTCCCAAAGCTAAACTCTTCTTCGCACCGCAGCTGGGGTTGCAAAGTTCTAAATTCCAAAGCTGACGTTGCGTTCTGCTTCTGCTTGCTTGGGCCTGCCATGAAAACAAACCGTAATTGAGGACAAGTCTCTAAGGAGGCCACGGAGAGCCAAGCGCCCGGGAAGAGGGTCGTCTTCTTCCTGAGCTTCACGGCAATATGTGCCGGGCCTCCGTCTGCTGGTAGCACCCTTGCGGCACCGACCACCCGTGTCGGAACCATGAGCACATCGTAGCGGCTGTACAAGAAATCCCCAATCCAAAAAAAGGCGGCAGAGCCGATCCAGGCCATGGCACCCCAAAAGCCCCGGCAAAGAAGACCGTCGACGTTGAGAGAAAGGATGTGCAGGTTCGCTACTATCACGATGAGAGGCGCCAAGAAGTGTGTGATCTTGAAAACGCTGTACCAGCGGACACGGAAGTTGTTGATGCTGGCGGGGAACACAATTAGAATACAGGCCAGCAAAGTATAAGCCGTAGTTACCTGGTGTTCTGGCAGCATGTCTGGTCCAAAAGCCACCATGTACAGCACGCCATGCAAGATCATGTAGATGCTGGCCACGGAGCCCACAACATAGTGGGCCTTGAGGGTCTTCTCGTAGGAGATCTGATACAGGGTCCAGGCCAAAGACCATCGCCGGGTTCCCAAGTAGGTGGCGATCGAGATCATGTACACAGTCATGCGGCCAATCCAGCCCGGCCCCGTGAAGTCTGGCAGGTAGTAGAGCTCGTAGTGAAGGGCCCAGAAGGTGGAGAGCAGCGCCGTTGCCACCAAGAACCATAGAAGCATCGCAGCCACCCCGACGGGCATCTCCAGATAGCTGTTCAGCATGTTGCCCACGCAACCCTTCAATGGCTTAGCCAGGATGGGTCGGCGGAAGATCCTGTCCTGCATGGGAGGGCTCATCATCACCGGAGACACATGGTGCATCAGCCACGGGAAAAGAACGTAGGCAACAAAGGCCATGCCATCCAGGATGTTCTGCTCAGTAAAGGCCTGCTCTGCACGCGGGTCACAGGCGCCCTTAATGGGAAGCCCAGACAGCGCGCCTTTGGCATGGGCCATGGCATAATATGCTGTGGAGTCCTCTCCACACATGGGTTCAATGACGGCACTGCCGGCATCATGATCTGGCAAATAGAAGGTGAGGTCATAGACCTTGCCGTGGATGCAGGACCAACAGTCTGCGGGTGTGTTGTGCTTCGCGATCTCGGCAAGCGACAGCGGCGTTTGCCTGCCCACGCTGCTGGCAACTGAGGCGCCGCCGTACCTCCCGACCAACACGGCGCCTTTGTTCAGGAGAATTGGAAGGTACGTCCATGGATGCTTCCCAACGAAGGAGGTGGTGCCATCCCCCCCACACCATGCATGAACAGAGCCGTCTCCTCCACTGTGCTTGTAAGCAGAGACGTCGTAGACGCCGCAGCCCAGTACCATCCAACAGTCTGTGGCCTTGTTGTGCGTCTGCAGCTCGGCATCCGTCACGGTGGTGTCCGGCGGCGTCGGCTCGTCGCCTCGACATTGCCTTGCAGGGACCTGGCCAGTTGGTCCTGTCATGGAATCTGTCGTGCCGATGCCGTTGCCTTGGCTTGGCGTGGCGCCATCACTGGTGCAGCTGCCAATGCAGCCTTTGATGGTGGCGAAGCGCTTCTGTGCCATCATGGTGATATAACTTTGGGGGTGCGATACAGAGTCGAAGGAAGCAGTCCCGTCTGCTCCACACGAGGCCTGGATGCTCATCCGACCCCCGGAGTGGCGGTCCAAGTAGCCTGAGCAGCAACTTGCGCAACATTTCTCTTACCCGCCTTCTTTGCGTGAAGCTTCGAAACCTTGCCAGCTTACTTGGAAGTTCACACAAGTGTTCAGCCCAGCAGCTGGTCACATCCAGAACATAGCCGTGCACGGCGATCCAACAATCTGATGCGATGTTGTGCCGGGCTACATCTGCCATGGTCAGCGGAGTCAATTGGACAGTGCCGGAGTCAAGGGCCGGCTGCTCACCTGTGATAGTTCCCAATGGGAAGCCACCCTTCTGAGCCAGCGTGGTCATGTAGCCGACCCTGTGGTTCTTGTCAAAGGATCCTGTTGCGTCAGCGCCACAAAGGATGCCGACACTGGCCGCACCACCGGTGTGCTTGGGCAAATATGCCGTGACCTGAGCAAAAACAGGCTTCGGTAGTCAGCATTCTCAGGATTCAGTGCAAACACCTGTGATACCGGCCAGTACCAAGAACTTACTTGCCATCGCCATGGTCTGTGCATTTACAAACGCAAGGTGTGCATGCCTGCTATTTCGTGTCAGGTATTCCAAAGTGAGCCAAGTCTCGTCCCAAACGATACCGGCTGTGCCAAGGAGGATCCAACAGTCCTGAGTCGTGGCGTGCGTGGCTAGCTCCCCCCAGGTGATCATCCTGTCGGGGAGCATCCCCGCCGATAGTTGGAAGGTGCAGCCTTGTCCAAGGATTGTGCTTGTTGTCCCAACCTTTGTGATGCCATAGTCATCCACTGCCTCTTGGATCTCACTCATGGGGTGCACACAGTCGAAAGAGGCCGTGGCATCTAGCCCGCAGAGAGCAGCCACGTTGGCCCGACCGCCATCGTGCTGCGCGAGCAGATTCGACGATGCATACACATCACCGTGCAAAGCCATCCAGCAATCCGTTTCTTTGTTGTGCCTCTGCAAGAAATCCTGGGACCCGTTTGTCAGTGTCACCTACAGGTCACAAAAGGACAAGTTGCTTGAGCTTCTTTTCGCCTTTCAACAACCCTAACGCGGAAACTGGGCATGAACGGGCCCCGGGCGGATGGGCCTCGATGTTTGGCAAGACTTGGATGGGCGATGGTCGTGGGTAAGTCTTGGCGGCGTCGATGGCTGAAGCCTGATAATTTGACAATGCATTGCAAGTGTTGATGCCAGATTTCTTCCGGAAACTTCTTTCGCCTTTGCAAATGCAGCAAGGCAGCCGAGGAAAGGGTTCCGATCTGGCCTCCCCCGATACGGCGCAGGGGCGCCTTGCCCAGGTAGCTCATGGGATGGTGGAGATCGAAGGTGGCCGAGGCATCTGTGCCGCAAAGGCCGAGGGTCCAGAAGCTGCCAACAGGATGTGCCTTGGCAGCGCCAACGAAGGAGAACACCTGCAAGGGCAATTGTACTTGAAGCATCGGAACCTTTGCAGTCTTACTGGTAAGTGGCACAACGACCGGCTGTGACTGCTTGAGGCTGTGCACATGCCTCACCGGCCAAAGACATGAGACAGGTGCAAGTGTTTTAGGTTGTGCCCCTTGTGCCAGCCCTGCGCTGCAGCGCTCATCAGGTGAAGTTCAGGTGAGGGCCAACAATTGTCTTTGACGGTATGCTCATTGAGGAAGTATTGCTCATCGCTTGACGGCTTGGCTTACTGGACGCGTGCACAGGTGATGCAGTCGCAAAGACCGGACCGACTGTGGCCAGACACACACACGAGCTCCGCAGCTCGGCAGGTGTTCCGTGCGGCTCGATGCACTCAAAACAGCTACGAAGAACCTGCTCCCGAATGTCTAGTCTAGAAGCCCAGAGTACAAGGGTGCCTTGCCATGGACGGCCATCCAGCAATCCAGCTCTGTGTTGTGGTCCTGGACCTGGTGGATGGTGTAGACCGGCAAGGCCGAGCCAGGAAGCTGTTGTGCGGCCTGGCCGCCATAGCTCACTTCCAGCTGAGGGCTGCCTTCCACGGTGGCAGCATCACCCATCCAAGTCACGCTGTTCATCTTCGTCCCGAAGAGTCTCACAGCATCCAGCTGGCCGATGTCAGCCATCTGAAACCCCACGGTGGCCTTGATGGATCCTGCCCGCAGGTTGGACACCACCACCTTGACGTTTGCCAGACCCTGAGCCGCCAACGCATGTTGCACCTGGGCCGAGGACGGACCCTAAACGACTCAATCGTCTCGACCAAAACCCAGTAAGACCCAGTCTTTTTAAATCTCTTGGCTCTGCCTGGATCGCCAACGAGGCCTCCGTCTGTGCGCTGGTCAGGTCCACGCTGGAGGCCAGCAAGTTTGGGAAGCTCAGGTTGTACCACATCGTTGCATTCTGCGGCACTGCAGGTGCAGGAGTTGTTGTGGTGGTGGTCGCGGTGGTCGTCTGCTGTGGGGCTGCAGGAGCGGCGCCGCAGCCAGCAAGATCTCCCAAAAGCACGGCACCCGTTCGGATTGAGAGGTCCATGTAGGAGATCGGGTGGATGGCCTCGAAGGCGGCCGTTGCATCTGCACCGCAAAGCTTCTCGATCGCCCCTTGACCGCCTGGGGGCGTGTAGCGGTCACCCGTGTGGAAGGGGATGTAGCTGGTCATGTCGTAGACCTTGCAGCGCATGGCCAGCCAACAGTCCGAGAGCACAGCATGCCAGGACATCTCCGAGGTAGATATCACGCTCACATCCTCGGTGGGCACGGTAGGGTTGAGAATGGACGTTTCTCCTCCACTTGGCGAAGGTGCAGGTGGTGTGGGACCGGGCGTGGTGGTCATTGCCGTGGAACTGGCGGGATTCCGATGGACTGTGGAATCATAGGTTCCCATGACCGGCATTCGCGAGATGTAGGAATCCGCATGAATGCTCCGGAAGGAGGCTGTCACGTCCTGGCCACACAGGAGCATTGAGTTCCCAGCAGCGTGGGTACTGCGCAAAGCCGTCATGTCCACCACCCAGCTGCCAACCCTGCCCCAGCAGTCATTTGCAGTTGCATGCGTGGCAAGCTCTGAGGCGGTGATGGCCGTGTACTGACCACCTGGAGCTGGTGCCGGGCTCCCGGCAGGGGGTGGAGACGGAGCCGGATACGTGCCTTGTAGAGTGCCCTTCATCACGATGTATCCATAACTCACTCCTTGACCCAGGTAAGAAAAGGGATGGAAGCCTCGATAAGAGGCCGTGGAATCCTTGCCGCACATGGACAGTACGTATGCTTTTCCGCCAGGGTGGTAGTGAGTGTACAAAGACATGTCCATGACAACCTTCCGACTGCCATCATCCATGCTTGTCCAGCAATCGTCAGAGGATTTGTGCAAAGCCACCTCAGAGGCTTGAATGGCAGTGGTGGGAGCGGCAGGCAAAGAGCCACCTGTTGCGCAAGTGTTGCGCATACCTTCATCATCATCCTCGTCCTCGTCCTCGTCCTCATCCTCATCATCGTCATCATCCAAGCGTCGAGCAGGGGGGACTGAGGCAGCACTCCTGCAAATCTCGGTGGCATCCCCGTCAGCAATGGACTCCTGAAGGTCTTCCAAGCTGTGGACGCACCAGAATCCGATAGATCCATCAAGGCCACACATCTGCTCAATGACCCTGCGTCCGCCCTCATGATTGGACAGCAGCCTCGTCACGTCGTAGACTACCTGAGCCAGGAGCCAGGTCCCGAGGCTTTCTTTTACAGCACGAGACGAACCTCCCACTTCAGCTTCAATCCAAAGCTTAAGGCTTAAGCCAAGCAAATTGGCTCTCTCTACTTTCGATCCCAGGTACTCTCTGGCGGTTCACCACGATCACGGTCCAACAACTTGCGCTGGTGGCATGACTGGCCAGCAAAGTTGGAATTTCGGAGGCTGTGCATGTGTTAGCAGCAGCCTGATGGACGAAAGCGAGTGGCACCCACCACATCGCCATGAAGGACATCATGCTGGGTAGCATTCGTACGATCTAAACTCCAGCTGTTGAGGCCCTCAGTGGCAAAAACAAGCAATTGTCCGTTGTGCCGCGCTGCTGCTTCAACAAACTTCGCACCCCAAGAAGCCTGCCCGACCTCTGCATCTGCGTCCACTGCCAGCCTTGGCATACAGCTGAGCTGCTTCGGGTTAGAACAATGCACCTTGATAGGTCCGCATTGGCCCTCGAGCGGCGTTCATCTGCTACGCATAGCCTTTCACACTTCAACTACGATTCAACTACACCTTCGAAGCTCAGCAGTCCTTCAAGTCTCTTGATTCTTGCCAGCTGCCAGCTATTACCCTGCAGGGGAAAGAAACAGGCCTAAATCAACTTTTAAGCTCCTCAAGTACCACATGTGATTGCCCAAGTTCCCAACCCATTTCCGGATCTGGGTGCTGTCTATCATCGTCTTGGATGTGGATGCCTGAGCGGGAAATCAAGTTCAAGTGTATGGAGTGCAAGTTCACCTCAGACTTCACATGCCTCCATGTGGGCAATGCGCTCCATATCAGCTGCCTGGTTCTAGAACAGCCAGACGTAGGACGAGCAGGAGGCATGCACATAATGACCAGATCATGAATTACACCCCCCTTGCACGTGTACAAACACAACAGGTGCGACCGACTGGTGCAATCATAATCACCCTAATATTCGCCTCGGCCCCCGCGCCGAAGCGGTCAGAGGTTCTTACGGAAATTCCCTGTTTCCCCACTTCTTAAATCCCCTCNNCCCCCCCCCCCCCCTCCCTAAAATTGAGAGATGCTTGGCGAAGACTGGGCTTGTCGTCAGCACCCCCCCCAAACTGGGCGTTTGTTCTCCACCTCCCCACCCTGCCCGCCCCCCTCCCCCAAAAAATAAGGAACAAGGGGCATGTGGGACTTCCGCCACAGCCTACCTTTTGCTTCCACAGCATATCAACCTCATTCATTGCATCATATTGATTTCTCAAATCTACAATAATCTCGATTTATGTTCCATAAAATATATCTTCTGCGGCCATGTATTTTAAGGATCAAAGCATTACAATTAGTTTTTAATGTTTCATCTTATTCATTATTTTCGTGGAAATTTACCTTATTCCTGTTATCGTTTGTAAAAATGCCTTCTTCATTTTTGCATTTTCAAGTTTCAAGGGACTTTAACAAATAATTTGTTCACGGTTTCTAGGGTTTTAATCATCTTATTCATTATGCCAAAATTTCATCCCAGGTGTCAATGAGTTTTCGTGCTTTTTTGCAATAACTTAGTAATTTTTAAACATCTACTTAATTCAATATTTCAGGGATTTCGCAAATTAAAGGATTCCTGGGGTGTTTGTTGTTCTAATGTTTCGGCGCCTATTTTTAAACACCCGGA